ACAAATCATCACTGCATCGAGTTGTATCTACGAATAGTGTTTAAGAATCGGAAGAAATAAGTTATATATCGCTAGAGTCTTCGAAGAGCTGGTTTCGCAAAATACTGTACGGGTTTACTCGTTTCGTTTGGTTTCGTTTGGTTTCGCAAAATACAGTAAGCCTCAAGGAATATGTGAAAACCGCGACCTGAAACCAGAGATTGTCTATCAAGGAGCCATAAATGAGTTTGTAACGCCTTCAAAGTTGGACGTGTCCGCGTAAATTACCTTAGTAAGCTTTATTGAAGTAACTGAGAGCGACTTTTACCAAAATTTATTTGTTTGTAGACCACTGGCTTTAACACGAAGCAAATATTTAAATTAATCTTTGTCGACTTCCGGTCGCACGTAATGCTTGTTTTGACTAAATCTCTCTCATCGAAAAAAAAAAAAACAACTGCTTCAAAACCGTGATTCTCTTCGAAATGTCGAAAAAACATTTTTCAAGGTCTGTGTTTTCGAGGTCTGCGGTCTGCAGTCTGTGTTTTCGAGACACCAGGATGTTGTGAGTAGGAGGTCACGTACGTCCAGTAAAACGTATGTTTCGCAATGGCTGTAAATAATTAAAAGAGGATATTGCATCATATCTAAGTAGATCACAGGCAGCCCAAGCTCACTGCTAGAAAAGCTGACGTACAGTGTTGCGCAACGTTTTATATTTATAAAGGTTTGTATGGGATGTTATCGGCTTGTCTTAAAAGAGAGAAAAAATGTCTTGTTTTGAAACAAAATGGACTTACCTTATTGCCTTGTTGTTTTCTTTGTGGATTACCAGCGTCTCAGCCCATTTTGAAGCGTTTTCGGCGAGTAAGCATTATTTTGGAGTTCAACTGCTGAATAAAATATCTTTGGGTTGCCTGTGAGTAGATAGCGTGCTAAAACTACTAATATATTCGTACCGCTCCACGTTCACTGCACCAGTTTTGTTCTTTTGCGAATCTCCTTCGTACCTTAGTGTTGTGTCTTGAATACTTCTGAGCCAAACAATTTTAAAACAAACAGCGCCGAAGCATGCAGTCGAAGGAAGACATTCTGGCCTCTTACTCGCATGAAAAGGAGCTTGAAAGAGCCAAGTGGTATAAGGAGGACTTGGATAAAGGCGGCTGGAGAGAGGCGAGCAGAGGTCCTGGTTATGTCTACTGGATCAAAACATTTCCAGATGAAGAGGTTCCAATTAAGGTGTTGGGTTCTTATGACATGCCACTGTCGGCTGAAACTTACTTAGAAGTAATGAATGCAAGAAACCAGGAGAAACGAGATAAGTGGGACACAGTATTCGTCGATCACGAAATTCTGGAAACGTATCCTGACGGAGGTCGAATGCAATTCATGCGCTATCCCCTGTCGTTTCCACTTTGGGACCGATCATTTCTGCTGTATTTTCCACCGGTAAAAGAAATCGACTGGTACGGCAAGCGAGCATTCCTTCAAGTCCAAAAGAATGCCTGCCACCCAACAAAGCCCGAAGGAGCTGACGGTCTCGTCAGAACAACAAACGGAGGTAATTTCACCGTGGTCATCCCTGATGAATCTAAACCGGAAGAAGCTTGTAAGTTTTTCCTTCTCTCTAACAACAACCTCAACGGCTGGCTCCCGAGGAAGCACATCGAGTGGGTTGTAGAGAAGAAAGCGTGTCCATCGTTTAACAATTTTTTTGCGTCTCTTATCAAAGGCTACAACGAGTTTTTCAAGCATGATTAACATTCTTGTGTTCAGTGTATAAGTGATTCAATAAAGTGGGTTTCTATAAACGATACGGATTATAATAAAGTGCCTAATAAGCTAAACAAATCGAAAACCAGATAAACTGAAAGGTTGACGCTTCTTCTCTTCGCATTCAATCGAAGATCCATTCAAAATCCAAGCGCTAACCGCCAAAACATTTTTGAGAAATGCAGCTTTCGCGTGACGGAAACCCGACACGACGGCTCACACCAGGCTAGTCAGTAGATGAATCTCTTGCGCGAATATGCCCCTGACTCCCCTCCCCCATGAGGCATTTGTATTGTTTAGCATCATCCAATCAGCGTGGGGCAAACAGCGTGACGGTTGCTCCTTGGCACACGAAATCGGGGCCGCGGATGCTGATCGCCTCGAGAGCTGCCTTTCTCAAGAATGTTTTGGCGGTTAGCGCTTGGATTTTGAATGAATCTTCGATTGAATGCGACGAGAAGAAACGTCAACCTTTCAGTTTATCTGGTTTTCGATTTGGAAGCCGGGCGATTCTTATTTCTGGGTGAAAATCGGCTTCGCGCTTGAGCGGTGGAAAATGAGCTATCCACCCTTGTCTCCTTGTAACGTATAGTAACAGTCCACGCAAAACCCACCAAATCGCTTAAATTCGCCGTTTAGAGCCACGGAAACGACAATACACAGCAAGTGAGGTAGGTTTACATTTATTTTGAGCTTTAACTCAGACATTTCATGATATAAGTTTACGATAATAAGACTCTTCAATCAGGAGTATTCTCCCATACATTCCTTTATATTTCGAATAAACAACTAGACTCGTCGTTTGTCTGGCCCCCTGTGTTGATATGAGACAGACAACAACTATGAGAGTCATGAATAAAGCTCTGGAAATTTCATATCTAAATTACGTCTCGTTCTCAATATCTCAAAAAAGTTACACGAAATATTAATCGACACACTTGCGGCATTCTTCGCCTTCATAGGTGGTTTGACGCGTTTTCTTAAGGCATTTTATTTTCAGAGCTTTATTCCTAACTCTCTTAGATTTTGTTCGTTTCAAGTGTACAATTATTAACCTAGTGTGGTTTGTCTGTGGTCAAAGCATCTCTGGCGGTTGGGTTAGCAAGGACTACGGGAAGTAAGCCTGTCTGATTAAAAGCGTAGCGTCCGCAAGTGTGAAATTACACAATTATAAATTGTTGAGACGTGTTTTCATCTTTGAATATTTCGCAACCCGTTTCTTCATAAAATGCTAAGGCGATAACATAACGACAAGCGAAAAAAACTTGCCATAACTTACAGTAGTGTATATCTCCCCACGCTTGTTTAATGCGAGATAAAAACCCGTATGGACTCCTCTTATGTGTACAAGGTCTCTTGCTACTGGCACGAGCTCTAGCACGATTGAAAATAACAAAAAAAACGCAAGAAAGATCATAAATAGGCCATTTTACAGCTGTGTACTTAGTGGCTAAGCCTTTGATTTGGAGTAAGACTGGACGCGACCTTGTTGTGATAGAGACCAGTATCTAATTAACAATTATTCCACAAGCGCGCGTTGGATATGAGATGATAGATAGCCAACGAGGCCCGTAGCGCCGAGTTGGCTATAATCATCTCATATCCAACAAGCGAGAGTGGAATAATTGTTTTATTAAAAAAACGCCCCCAAGATAATAGACAAATCTTCA